GATGTTTCGTTACAGTCAGACCTAGTCTGGTTTGCAAACTGCGACATTACAGAACTACGTATTGAACAAAGCGCTAGAATTTCGGGAGCAGCAACGAACTCGTCTAGAAGGGGACAGTAGCCTTACGCTTGGAGACGTGACAACACTAAACTTGACAATTTTGACTGGTGGTGTGCAGATGAACGTTCTACCGGAGAAGTTCGAGGCTAGTAAGTGCTCTCTGTGCTAGTTTACTGAGACAGCGTTTATGCTAAGTGATCCGGGAACACGTGAAGTGGGAAGAGATTAAACTGCCTAAACTGAACAAGTCCAACTGTAAATGAAACGTTCCTCCTCCATTTCTCCTCACTCCTCCGCCATTTCTTTAACTCTTCTTGAAGGCATAAAGCACCATAATTTGGTACTCAGTCTAAAATAGTGGCAGCGGTGTTATAAAGTGGGGAAAATGGCCAAAAAGCGAAATGAAACAGTCAAAACCTTGTAGAAAAGCCTTCCTTCTACATGACTCAGAAAACAATTGGACGAGTTTCCGGTTGACACCGTGCTAATAACCGCGATGGTACAGTCCTCATCATTGCGGACCGGTGGGGCGTGTCAGCCAGAAGGAGTGCGCACACTGTTGAAGCCGTTCTCAGCCTTTTTTGTTGCAACGCGTATGCGACAAAAAGTGGTAGAAAACGAGTAATACGAAGGATATAATACAGTAATGCACTTGCCCGCTTCAAAAAAAATTTTGCCGAACCGCATCCAAACGCAGCCGCACTGCCACCCCACCGGTCCGCAATGATGAGGACTGTAGATATATGTATACTCTAGTTCGCTGCGGACGGTTGGGCGTGTCAGGCAGTATGAGTGTGTCACGCCGTCAAAGCCGTTCTCTGCCTTCTTGTTGAAGCGCGCATGCGACAAAAAGTGGTAGAAAACGAGTAATACGAACGATATGATACAGTCATATCACTTGCTCGCTTAAAACTGGTGGAGAACGGGTTTGGCACCGCGCCAAACTCATCCCGCCTGACACGCCCAACCGTCCGCAGCGAACTACACTATACTCACATATTCATGCAGCCCTCAGTCGCTTCATATCATTCCATTTACTTAACGTTGCTCTTCGCTTATGAAGCGATACGAGCGTCGGACATCTGTGGGCGGACGGGGCGCTAAAGGGATGCCTTCCTTGGGAAAGGCGCTACGCCTACCTGCTCAGTGGCACCGAATTCTCTCCGGCTAGGCATATTAATCCTGCACGTCTCGAGGATTTATCGTGCCACTTCCCTTCACGTGAAGTCCTTACGTAGCTTACTTCAAGATTTCGACATTCGAATTACGCCCACGGTGGATTTCGACGAATTTGAGAAAATGATCGCCTCGTGGTGTAGGAATGCTGGAGAAGGTGTTACCTACGAGTGCCTACAGGTTTGTAATTAATCAGTCAAACACGAAAACAAAGCGAGGCGTTTTCCAAATGATATTCCAACGCAGAACGTTTTTAGAAGAACACAAACAGAAATATGACCCCAACCACAGCAGACGATCCATGGTGGAATGCCTTCGAAAAGTCGCTATCGGACCAGTGAGCTTTAATTTTCTTTCCATTTGAAATTCGAAATAAAGGTCTTATTTTTCCTGCTGGCTAACATCTGATTGTACTTATCTTGTTTTTCAGTCAGTGCAAATTCTCGAAGGAGATTTTCAGCGCAGCAACAGACTCGAGATTTATTAGAGAGGTAAGGGCAGGTATTTCGAGGGTACGCCCCGCATTCAAAAATTATGAGTTATGCGACTCAAATGCTAATGACAAAAAATGAAAATGAGGAAAAAAGCAATCTAAACCACATGAAATGCCCCTTCTAAATGCTCATCCTCACTTATTGGTGCCACCTTTTTCTTCCTATCACCTCATTCTTACCATATGAGAAAGCGAATAGCGAAACAACCGCACCACCATGAAGACTTCAGAAATGAAACTGGGCATAGCCGTGGCAAGTGGGCGGGACCGTGGCCTCGTCGCGAATGTCGCGCTTTCCTCACGTAATTTCGAGCTGCGAAGGTAGTACATCCTCTGTGCTTGCGGGAGGACTACCTTGTCCAGAGAATATGTTCGAACATCACATGGACGCGGAGCGTACCTCCGAATAAACTGAAGAAATGAGCACCCAAATCGATTTTTTTCAGCTTGGCTATCGATCGATCGGTTTCTCGCCGATGATAAACACTCCGCAACTATTGCACGATCATAACGAGTACCTCAACGAACGTGTCTTTCTTCGTGGAGTCGAAATTTATGAGACGTTGATTGACAACTTGGCAAATGTCCAAGAATAGAAGGATAATTATATGCATGGAATCATACAAGCTATGTGTTAAGTACCATTTGGTCAGGTTGATGTGACACTAATTTCACTTAGTGTATATATTTGTTAAATGAAGCAATA